GGACAACCCCACACAAAGAACTCTTCAGACCAAGTGGCTGCAAGCGTTGCGGCCCAGATCTGCGCTAAGGAGCGCAAAGGCATTGCCCCCAGCCCTGTGCTTCTGTGCACCGTGGGCGGCAGGCTCCATGGGGCTGCCAATGTGGGGCCTCTGCGTGCCACCTCCTGCCCACCGATCTTTGGTTACTTGTGACAGTGCTACTGCATGGAATTCTGCCTGTGGGCCCCACGCCAGAGGCCTGTCTAAAGAGCCAGGCAGGGACACTGAGGGAAATGACAGTCTGTGAGCATGGATGACCCCGTGCCCCCTGGCTCTGGAAGGCACAAGGGCTGGGCTCCACAGGCATGCCACTGGAGGGCTGGGCCTGCTAAGCAGTAAGCGGGAAAGGAGACCAGTTTGGGAGGAAACACGACTGACCGAGGCTTGCAACTGTGTGTCTCAGGAAGGGAACATGATCCATTAAAATAAAGTTTTCAACAAGTGTACTTTAGCAGGATGAAGGAGCACAAAACTTAACTGAGTAAAAGATGAGCCAGGCGACACTTAAGTGCCATGGAAAATCCTGAGCCAGGGAGACTTAAGCGTTGCGGAAAATCCTGCCCAGCCTTTCAGGATGCCATCAAGATGTTTGGAGATGTGTGGTTAAAATTTTCAGACTGGGTGTGGTGGCGCGCACCTGTTAATCCCAGCTCTTGGGAGGCTGTGAACAGGCGGATCACTGAGTGTTATCTAGTAGTGTGACCCTGAAAACCCTGCAGACTCTTCCCTAAAATACAAATAAAATAAAATTTTCAAAATATGAGTCCCTACTGGGGACAAACTGCCGTTGAGTCCGTGGCAACCCCTGTGTCTGGGAAACCCACAAGCAGTGTACGTCTTTCTTAGTGGACACCCTCTCCATACATACAGAGAAAATGAGGGTTTTCTGTGTGCTTATTCCCACAAGATGTAGCTGAAGCATTTGCCTGGAAACTGGTTTGCTTCATTGCAGCTTAGTATTCCACAGCCTAGACAGCTCCCCACGGTCTGGGCCAGTCCTCATCACAGCTGTTTTGCTGTTTTCAACAAGGGACCACCGCCCGGGGCCTCCTTGTACACAGGTGTGAGTGCACGCTGAGACCCCCCCCCCCGGGTCACCTGTGCCGCTGTACACCTGCCCTGTCGTGGGGGTCCTGGAAGGGCTACACACGCTATGGAACAGGGAGCTGACGCTGGGCGAGGACACGTTCCGGGTGTCCTTGCAGGAGAACAGTGTTAGAACACACTTGTGTCCGGGTTTCCCCTAGCCGCTTAATTCCTGACCTTTCACCAGGAGCGGCTGATTTACAAATGAGCACCGTCAACCTCGTTTCCCTGGTACCACAGTCTAAATGGAGGCGGGGCTCGGAGCCGGAGCTCCCGCCTGGCGCCCAGGCAGTGCTGCAGCACGCCCCCTGGTGGGAGCAGGAGGATAGGAGCACGCAAGACGCCGCTCAGGGAAAGCCACCACAGGACGGTTCTCTTACGCCATACAGACTGCAGAAAGCTGTTTACTGACACCATCCACATTTGTGGCTTTAATTCTTCCTTCAACTCTCTGTGGAGGGTTAGTAATCATAAAAGCTGTACCAATGGTCTCAAATTAATAGGATCACTAAAGCCAAAGGCTGAAAGCTGAGACTGACAGCCGCTTAGAACAAAATTAATGTCGAATGTTCAGAATTATATCTGAATGTGTTTTAAAAATTTAGCCTCTCAATTCAGCACGGTGGCTCCTGCCTATTATCCCAGCACTCTGGGAGGCTGAGGCAGAAGGGTCACAAGTTTGAGCCTTCCTTAGGTATGTTAGGGACTCGGTGAGACCTATCTAGAAACACAAAAGGGAGGGGCCTGTGGCTCCCCGCAAAGGCCCTGGGCTCTACCCCAGCTCCCCCGCCAGTCTCTGCTCCAGGTCTCAGTGGAACATCGGCTAACAGGGGTATGAAGTTGCCTCAAACGGTGATGAAACAGTGACTACAAATCGAGGACTCTCTGGTAGGAAATGGGCAGGGAAAGGGCTGGAGAGGGAAGCACGGCAGTGGGGAAAGCGCTTGGTCACACAGCAGCAGCAACTTCCTGGGCTGCAGGGACAGTGCACTGACACTATGACAAACCAGTATCACAGGTTGCGGAAAAGAGGTCTGCACAGATGCCACAGCGTGGCTTCTTGGGTTCCCAGCTGATTCCAGAAGAAAACTTGTCCATACAGTCACCTTGGCATCGCTCGTGGTGCACAGCGAGCGCCAGGCAGTGGGTGAGAGGCCATGAGGCAGCACTGTCACGCAGTGGCCCCAAAGCCGCCCATCCTGGCCTCCAAGCCACACACTGGACTTCCAGATCATGGCCAGTGTCAGACGGGTCACAGGACAAGTGACCCGTATCCTCCCGAAGGCCAGGCCCTGACAGGTGAACGATGAGCATCGAGTGACCACTCTGGAAGAATGGCTGGACCCTGACTTTCAGGCAACAACAATAAAGGTAAAAGCCTTCTTGTGGCAACCAGGCAATCTGAACACCAGCAAACGTCTCAGATTATGAAACGCTGCCATCTGTGACACCATCACTGCTCCTACGTGGGGAGATGTCCTGTCATAGATGTATGACTAAGTATGGAGGTCATGAAGTCTGCAATATTATTTCAAATGATAAAAAGTAAAAGCCAGAGTCCCTGTGTACAGATGAAGCGTGGTGTCACCTGCTGACCCCAGTGGAGGGCAATGGGATATTGACGTACTGTTTAACTAGTTCACGTTTCAAAACGCTCTTGATCCAAAATTGTAAGAAAACCCACATTCTTGTCACTTCTACTTATAAGCACTATCGGCCTGTCTGTCCTCTTGCTGGGACAGGGACCCCTTGCCCCCAGCCAAGCACAAGCATTCCCTGGGGTCTGGATCGACCTGAGGTGCTGGCAGACACCCTGAATGGGCAGGGCAGCCCCAGCCCCTGCAGTCCTGAGCCGAGGACAGGAAGTGCTGCTCAGAAGGACAAGGTGCCCAGGGATGCAAGGCAGGAGAAGAGCCTCAGAAGAGGTGAGCAAGAGTGTTTAAGGGACAATGTGGTGGACAGCTGGGAAGCACGCGGGGCAGCGCAGATGGGAGGCTGGGTGGGCAGCAGCACCCTGATGCCAGCAGGAACCCCCAGTGTAGGCCGAGTGGCTGCGGCTCAGCAAATGCCTGATGGCAGCACCGCAGAAGGTGTCAGTGTTGAGTCCACAGCCATGTGGTACAAGCTCTGACCAGCAAGGGAGCAGCGAGGACTGTGGAGCCAGAAGAGAAGGGGCTGGCCCCAGGGAGATGGTATACCAGGAGCAACCCACGGGGCCCATGGCACTTCATGATGAACAACAGTGCTGGAGGGGGGCCTGAAGACCCCCAGTACTCTCAGAGGCTGGGGCCATGAAGCAGGCAGGCGGCCCAGGAGGACCTTGAGTTGCCAGCATGCCATCCAGTGTCCCAGAGCCATGGAGATGATCCAGGAGAACCTCCCTGACAGAGGGCTGTGGGGAGCCTGGGAAGGAGCTGCCCTTCCCCTCTGCCCCCCAAACCCCCAGGAACCTGAGCTCCCAGGTGGGAGAACTGCACAGAGCAGGGCATGAGGGGCTTTGGAGCAAAGGGTGCCCATGTCGAAACCTCAAATTAAGCAAGGCAGGCCGCTAACATCATTCGAAGTCTCTCAGTGCAATCTCAGTGTTAGAGACGGTGACGCTGAAAGGCAGACGTCAGCTTTTCAGTCATGAATACGCTGCCCTCACACTGTACATTTACTTGGGCGAGAGGTGAATTCCTTCCTGCATTTTTACCAGGACAAGCTCAGGATGTGTATAACCAAATGCCTGCTCCAAAAAGTCCATTTCCAGTCACTGTGTTTCTAAAAACTCAGTACGAAGCACTGAAGGTCTTCATGCCAGCCCTGCATAGAGACAGCGACTGCCCACAAGGAAGCCGGGGACGCAGGCCCAGGGTGCTGAGGAGAAGAGAAGGCCCCTGGTTCCTGCGATACCTGGCAGGATGCACAGCATCAAGTCACACCAAGCGATGGGTGTTTGGCCCAGAGCGCGGCTTACTGAGCCCATCACCTCTGGGGCCTCCACCTGATCCGGGGAGCCCATCACTCCCCTCTTACACCTCGGCTAGGGACCTGCAGTCTTGGGAAACACATTTCTCCTGGCATTCCCGTTGCAGAGGCCTCAGATGAATGAACAAATCGACGAGACCTTCCCCAGCCCTTATCCCCCAGCACTGGGTGTAAACCCAGGGCTGTGCACCCTCTGGTATGAGACTGGATGAGCTCTCTATCACTGAGCTACGTTCCTAGCTCTTTCCAGTCTCTGTGTGATGTCTTTATTTTTATTCTTTTGTTTGAACTTACTTGGTAGCCCAGGCTTGTCTCCAACTTACAGTAATCCTCCTGCCTCAGCCTCCTGTGTTGGGGTCACAGGCGTGCGCCACCATGGCCAGCAAGTCTGACATACTGCTGTTTCTATCACTGAATGTAGCTGGGTCAGACCTCATGTTTTGGTCCCGACCTGAAGAGGTGCATCATGATGGTCACAGATAAGGCTCTCGGCCAAGTGACCCGGCTCGGGCCCCACCCTGTAGGTCACAGCTCAGTAGCTTTCATGTGCTCTACTCTGCTGACAGGGATGGCTCTCACGAAAATGCACAGGTCCGAATGCTGCTGGCCACTCCCGACAGCACCCTGCTCCATCTGGATGTGAACAGCTTCGTCAACACACAATACCCTCAAGTTCAGTCCATCAAAAGGAGGTGAAGTTCAACAGGGACAAAGGAACGGCAGATGGCCACCAAAGGCCACTGTCAGTGAGTCTTTAGGCTCCATGGAACTCCATCTCAGGTAAGCGCTGGCCTGACACCTCCAAGAGCTGACAGTTGCCCCAAATATCAACCAGAGTTACCAAGCTGCCAGCTGTTGGCCAAGGCCCCCCAGGGCTGCTGGGGCCTGTGCTGTGGACTGGAATTCCCACAAATGGCCACATTGGGGTGACTTGGGGCAGGGCAGCTGCAGCCAGTCCCCAGGTTACTGGGGCATGGAGGGGCTCCCCAAGGATTGGGAGGCAGAGTCTGGGAGGCAGAACTGTTGCAAGTCTGACTGGCTGGCAACAGCACCAGAATAGGTCCTGGCTCTGGGTGTACACGCTGACCCACGTTTAGCTGAGTGTCAGTCCTGAGTGCAGCTGAGGGACCACTGCCATCCTGGACCACTCCGATGTCCAGGGGTCACAGCAGGCCCGAGCAGCATGGCTCCTTACCTTGGGCTGCGTATCTACAAGAACCGTCCTCCACCAGCACGTTGTAGAAAGGCTGATGGTGGCCGTGAGGCAGGCTGTGCACGTTCATGTTCCGGATCCACTCATGGCCCATCATACAGGTTGGGTCCCAGCCATAGATCACGCAGTTATAGCCATACCTGGAGAGAGGATGTGGCAGATCAGTTCCTGGGACCTGGCCCAGCCGCCACGGGACAGAGATGGGCCTGGCTTCCCTCATGTGAGCTGACGTCTCACACGTTCCTGCTCTTCTGTCATGCTGATCATGTTCTCTTTGGGATTCTCTTGCCATCTTTACAGACTTATTGTCACAATAGCACTTCACTTGGAAAAGAACTTCAATAAAGAGTGTCAGGGTGACACTGGTCATCCAGACAGAAAAGGCATTGTGGGGTGTTAAGCTGATCACAATGCACCACAATTAACTTGATATGCTGCAACGCAGAGCCTTTAAAAGGAGATCTTTATAACATGAGAAAGGAAAGATTCTTTTTTTCTTTTGGTGGAACCAGGGATTGAACTCAGGCCCTTGCGCTTGCCAGGGAAGTGCTTATTCCACTGAGCCAACTCCCCGGCCCCAGGAAAGATTCTTAAGACACTAAAAAGCACAATCCACAAGGAAGACTAACCAATCTGACAGCAGTAGAACTGCCAGGCTAGATGCAGCGCACACACGAACTCCCGGCTGTTCGGAAGCTCAGGCAGAAGGAGCACTTCAAGTCCTCCCTTGCCCACTGAGTGAGAGCTATGTCAAAAACAGAATTTAAGGGCTGGAGAGATAGCTCAGCAGTCTAAGTGCCTGCCTGGCAAGTGCAAGGACCTGAATTCGATCCCTGATACCACATACATGGTGGTGCATGCCTGTAATTCCAGTGCTGGGGAGGCTGAGACAAGAGGATCACTACGAGTCTGAACTGTGTAGCGAGACCCTGCATCAAATAAATTAAAAAAAAAAAAAAATTTAAAAAGGGCTGAGCATGTAGCTCAGTGTACAGTACTTGCCTTGCATGCACCAGGCCCTATGTTCAATCCCTAGTACTGAAAAGAAAAATGAAAGGCCAACAGAATAAAAGACCTTGACTGAAACAGCTTCTGTACAACATATAGGACACCTGGGGTTAAGGAATTATTGTTTAGACATGATAGGAGGACTGCAAATGTATTGGAAAAAAAAAAAGAGGAGCTGGGCCTGGTGGTGCAGCCTGTGACTCCAGCCCTCCAGAGGCTGAGGCAGGAGGCTCACCATGAATGGGAGGCCAGCCTGGGCTGCACAGTGAGAGCGCACAAGTCCCTCCACTTCAGAGACACACCCTGAAACAGCTACTGATGATGTGGTGTCTACACCTGCTGCGGTTACTCTGGGGGGAGAAGGAGGCTGGGGGTGGGGACACTGAAGACCGACTGCAGGATGCTAGCACTGGTAGTGATGATGGGAACGTGGCCTCTTCACGGGTCTGCCTCTCTTCTCATGTTGGTAAATTTCCATAATAAAGGTAAAGAAAAGGCACACACTGAAAGGATGAGAAACTCCAGCCCCAAGCTGGGAAGGTTTTGGGACTTCTCCTCACAGGGACCAGCGTCTAAGGTCAAAAGCAAGTGTGCATCAATGCAGGCTGGTAACTCAACGGATGTAAGCAACCCCCTGAAGCAGCACCTGTGGGTGGCCAGTAACAGATGAAGGACCTCAGCCTACATGGCGCTCAGGGAAGTGTAAACGGAACTGCAGCGAAGGGCCACTTGCCCTGAGCGCCGTGGTCCACATGGAAGGCCAACAGTAGCGCCTGCTGGTGAGCACAGGCTCGCAGCGCCTACTCTGCTGGGGGAATATAAAGCAGCACTGTTTCTGGGAAGAGTTTCACGCACATCCTGCCCAGGACTGAGGTCTGAGGAGACAGAAGTTAAAGGAGGAGAGTGTCAAGAACACTAAGGCAGTAGGAGAAAAAACTACTCACAGAGCTGCTTCCATCTTCCTCACAGAAAAGGTCAAATGTATAGAGGTCACTAAGCAGACCAGAAGACTGCTCAGGAAAAGGAGCCAGTGTTTAAAAACAAAAGCGTGTGAAGATCCAGGTCAGCGTCCTGTTGCTCCGGGGTCGGCACCGCAGCTCGCCAGGCCCGCGAGCACCCCGCAGATGACAGGAGACCTGGCACTCACCTCTTATGCTTCATTATGAGCCCGATGGAGTAGCAGACATCCCTGTGCTTCTCATCAGAGCGCAGCTTAACCTCCACGCCTACCTCCTCCTTTTTGCGCTCAATGTGCTCGAGCGTGTGCTGCACCAGATAGCCCACCGCCCCGTGCTGCCCGGGGTCGAGGGTTTGGATGTGCTGGAGGATGTCAAGCACCTTCAAGACAAGACAGAAAGACTAGGAGATAATATTTTCAGCTAGGCCTTTTCTGGTTTGCAGCACAGGATTTAGGCCTACCTACGCAAGCTGACGAGGGCACGTCTGGGCTAGGACCAAAGGACCTACCGAGCCTAGCAAGGGCGGGAGTGTTGCAGGGGACCATGTCCACCTGCTGCTATGTACGGGGGGGGGGGGGGGGGGGACGGGGGGGGGGGGGGGGGGGGCCCCGAGGGGCTGGGGGAGTCCTACACTGCTCTTCTCAAGGCAAAGGCATTTTGACACAACTGCCTCAGTGGCAGGTGTTAGTAAAAAGGGCCCGGAAGGGCAGCTCCCTTAGTATATGAGGTTATCCACAAGGGAAACAGCACGGTTATCAGCGTCCTGAAATCCAGCCAGTCACACACATCACCCTAACTCAGAATGCAAGTGGGCACCACGCCGCGCAAAGCCCTCACCAGCAGCCGCAGTGGCAGGACTGTGACTCCCCTGTGGCAGTCTCTCTCCTGCACGGTGTGGCTCTAGGAAAATACCGTTCAAATAGAGCTTTAAACGTGCCCACAGGATTACTGCGCACCGGGGAGGTTTGTCCCGTGTGACACAAGGCTGCTGACAAGCCTGTCCCTCCAGCTCCCTGAGTCCCACATTATAGCCTGCTTGGTGGAAAGGCAGTCTGGTTCCCAATCTGTCAAACTAGTTCTTTTCACTTTTGAATTATTTTTTGTTTGCAAATGATGATCAAGCACTGCCCTACCTATTTCCTAATACGAATGACCTGTACAAGTATTGTGAAAATTAGTCGTAGGCAACTGAATATATCACTAACCCCACCGGATCTTGTCTTCCAGACTGTCAGCCTGCAGGGTCTCAAAACCTCATGCTAGGGAATTTCAGTATTTTCCTCTCTTCTTGGCACTGGCCAAGCAGTCATCACTGACTTTTGGAAGAAAACTCGCCTTGTGAGGTCAACAATCTGCCTGAGGTTACAGGATTAGG